TTGAATCAATCAATAGTACAACATGATGCTGTTGCCTTCAATATAATATCTCAGCAACTTTTATAGTGTTGTGTGTTAAATTTTGAATTCTTTCTTTCTTATTTTGCATTTCATATGTATAGCCTGTATATTTATGATGAACTTGTCAGTTCATTTGAAGCATAATATTTTCACATCAGCCATTAGCAAAGAATTTCAAATTGAGTTATTCAAAATTAGCATCTAGCATTTCTTAATATTAGATAAAAACAAATCGTTATTCACTAGCAAAAGTTGATGACACTATGCTATACCATAGGAGCAATGCATTAATGATTGGGTTCATCCTTAAGGTCATTCAGTTTTGGAGATACTACATCTTAAAATAAATCTTTAATAGGTTTGAGTGAATAAGTAACAAGGCATTAACATGCACCACCTGCCATGTGTTGCAAACACCAACCACCAAACAGCAACCACTATAAGCAGAACACTAGTGTCTGCCTCGAAAATGTTGGAGACCAATGTGTCACCACTTCTGGTGCTGACATTAAAATCAGAAATGGTGTCACCCATCAATTTTTGCAGTAATTTAAACATCAGATCTCCTTAAAGGAAAGATCAATAATCAATTGGTTCTCATTTGTAAAGTCTATCAAACCTACTCATCATAACCATTACATGTGACATATGCAATTCATCTATTGATATGAAATCATGAATGGTTGATTTGCCAGGTTATAGAACATTTTAAATAAGGATTTATTGTTTCCAGTCTATGGAGCCACTTAGAAAATTGTTAGGCATTAAGTAAACCTAAAAGCTTTTTGAAAGTCTAGTTATGACATTCTGCTAGATATAGTTTACTTCATTATGTCATCTATAGTGGTTACATCAATTCTGATGTTATCTCCGAAGAATAAATGACACTGACAACTTTGAATATGCATGTTACGTAAATGTAATTCTTGTTATTGATCGTGTTATACAGGTATTGTCACAAGTATGAATTAGGTATTATGTGCTGGTTTAGATCATATATACTGTAAGTTATTTTTATCAGTGAGTTTATTTACCAAGACAAGAATACTTAAAAGTTAATTTCCCTAACCCAAATCCCAAGGAAACAAATACAAATAAGAACACACAGCGCTGAACTATTTCTTCTCTTTGAACCAACATTCAACAACTATTCAATGATTACAACCCGTGACTTCAGGTAAAATTCAATGATTGTGATCCTAACATTCAATCCCAGCTTTTTGACTGTCTTTCTTTATAGCAACATTCAATCCAGTCTTTCTTTATAACCTTTTTGTAACTTATTCTTAATGTATCCATGCATTCTGGATCCTTGTATCTTACATCTTAAGGAGCTATTGGCACTTTTGCATACATATAATCAATAATGAAGATGGTAACAATTATATTTAAAGCAGCATCAAAGAAAGGAGAGTGTAAAATGTTAAGTAACCTTTTTACATCCCATTGTTCCTTCACTACTGTAAAACCTGTCTTAGTTAACTCCTCTCTTTAGCAAACACCTGTTTCTAGTGAACACCTCTTTTCAGCACATATTCCTCTGAGTTCTGTATAACTTGCCTCTGTAGTGAGCACCTACCTATAGTGAACACATTTTTGTGGCTCCAAAGGGGTTCAATATACACAGGTTTTACTGTATCTTAATTTTTGGAAAATATTGAATAACTTTGGGAGTGTTGAAGAATTATTCTTGAAATTCTACATCTGACAAACAATTTCATAAATGTAAAAGTCTAAAATGTTCACTGGGCTATTCCTTTTAGATTCTCCTTATCATGTAAAAATTCCTGCTTTATTTGAGTACAATGTTTTTGGAACACCTGGTATAAAGATTATCGGAGAATGTATAACTTATATTCTCTTGATCAGATAAATGAGTTGTTCTGATGATTCCAAGTTTACATCAGTAGAATTTGCTATTGGTCAACAGGTCATGAAACAATGCACTAATGAAATCACAAACGCAATTGATTGGCATGATTTGCAATTTAGATGACATAAAATTCCCTCAATTGGCTCATTCATAGTCCCTCATGGTCCAACCCTGAACTTCTTGCTCAATTAACCCAGGTTGCGAGATTGTATAGGACATCAATGGTTCAATCATTGAACTGGGGATAATTGCTGGGACTAGAACTGAAGAATGAGACTGTGTTGAAGAAAGAATACTCCAGGAAGGAAGTATTTGAATATTACAAGCCGGGAATCTGAATTTCATCTGCTGTGGTAAATCTATTTCATAAGTATGTATCACATCATGTTTTACGATGTAAATTATCCAATTGTTGCCACTTGACTCGTTCTAGAGCGTCTTTAGCTAAAACGTGACATGAATGCAAATGTAAGTCAAAGTCGCATTCTAAAAGCGTGTATTCTTTACTGTCAAACTGGGACTCGTCTGGGAATTACAGTATAGTTTTATCCTTTCTTTATCATTCCACAGAGACAGACGAAACTATGTAGTCAGCTTGATTTCTAACAATTACACATCATCATCAATCTTCCAGCGCTTTTTTGTCTGTGTATTTTTAATCACAATACATAGAAAAAAACAATTCCAAATATGTTGTAAAATCGCATTACTGGCTCACATGATTTCTGATAAGTAAATAATAACAAAATTTTAAAAGATCTTGATTCATTTTAAATACAAAGTCAATATGTCTTTACTCGTCATCAGGCTGAGGTTATTCTTATTTTAATGCCTATATGGCTGAAGTAACAGTAATTTTAAGTCCATTATTTGGATCGCCATATGGATTAGGATCAATGTTTAACACATTTCTAATAAAGAATTTATGTAAATTTGCAGGTGAAGTTACTGAATCAGGTTCACATTTGAATGTTGGCTTTAAAATTCATTTCTTGTTTAGTTGGCTTTTCATTTCATTGCGCCAGAGCTTTTAAAGCTTTATTCAACTCCATTGATCAATTGTTTTGGCAACTTGTAGACACATATGAAGTTTCATTCATTGATCTATGTACAAGAGTAAATTCCTTGAATAATCCCCAGGCTGGAATCATTATCTTTAAGGATATGTCCATTTTATCATTAGATCATTCAAACAAATGAGAATTTTTTATCAAAATATTAATTTTTTCACTTTTTGCATAATATAAGAATCTGTTTGCAGACAAATGGTCCCTTAGTGGTGATTTTGCTGATGATATATCTGCTAAAGACAGCTTTCTAATAAGGATGTCTGGCAAATATGGACTACTAATTGATTCCATAATTGATTTACACAATTTGGTACAAAGCAAAACAGTTCTATTTGGTTTGGTCTTAGAAGATACTATATTTTTGGATAGTTTTTGCTTTTTCCATTTTTATGTTACCACTAATGTCAACAACAGAATTGTTGACATTTTGTTATTTTCTCCAACATTCTCGTGGATGGTGTTTGGCATTCAGTTGTCGGCATTCAGAGTTTGGCGTCTGTAGAAACACTTTCAGATGTGTATACTTATTCTTACAAGGTAGTGATATTTTGTAATGTTAATGCCTTGGACAGTTATATAATAATAACATTTATTTCAATTTATAAATTGTGATTATTTTGAAATAAACTAATTTGAAAAACCTTTTCCAGAGTCAACTACCCTTGTCATTCAAGTATAAATGTAGATATTCACTGTATACTTCTATCTTAGATCTTGGAATATCCAATATATATTTAATCTGGAATATAGATGATAGATGGATCTGTTTACTTTTTGGATTGGTTAGTTTGCTACTGATGACTTTTCCAATTGAAATGATTTGGTATGACATTAACATTATCTCAGCTGATCTTGAATTGGAAAAAAGTCAACTGGTGGATGTTTCATGCTTACATTCTGTTACAGATATTACCTAGATATAGGAAGTTGTTTCCATAAAAGCCAAGGTATTTATTGTTCATTGTTTTTTTAAATAATGTATTCTATAGTTCTTCCACATAAATCAGATGTTGACTGTTCACATTATCTTGATTCTTTAGATTCTATAGATAATCTTGTTATAATATACTTTTGCAATAATGACAGGTAACTTTCTGTTCTCAGTTATGGTTGCTATGGAGGATTTTTGTTTTCTTTCATATTGGATTGTTGCCTTTAGTGTTTCTATTAGTTGATTGGTTACATGATAGGCTAATTGTGACAATATCATAAAATCTATTATTAATATACAATATATCATAGAAGTATCTCATTCAGCTCCAACAAATGACTCTTGCAGAGGATCTAATTTTGATGAGAAGAACAAAATTTGAAACAAAACAGCACCAACGTCCCTATACTAGTATCATATAACCACATAAACCATATCAAATCATCTTGATTTAGCTTAGTTTCAGCACCATTGGCCCATCATTCATTTTGGTTCTCTTTCATGCAATTTAAAAAACTGAGAAAAATTTGAAGGCAGTAACAATAGAAATCCCAAATGAATAAACGCACGGAGCACACCGCGTCTCGAACTCGCAACCTCGTGGTTACAGCGCCCAATCGCCTAGCCTGAACGTGCTGGCGCCTAAGCCCTCTCGGCCAACTCGACAACCCCAAAAAAGTTGTTTTGTTAGTCGATCTGACTAGGGGCAAAACAAGAACAGGTTATGGGTGTATCCAATTAAACCCTAGATGTCTTTCACTAAAATTGTGAGAATACTTTCCATAGTAGCTAAATATCCATTTTAACTTCAATTTCCTTCTTTACTTTTTTGATCCTGGCTATGTCTTTGTGGGCATTATAAAAAGAACGGATCTGATACATTTCTAGGATAACAATGATAGAATCAATATGAAAAATGAATGACAAAATGAATGATAAGACAGATGACAAGACACTCCTAATAAATCATATTACATAACATATTGATCCATCCCATTTGACATTTATAACCTAGATCCATTATTATATTTTGGTGCTAACCACAATTAAATTATTTTATGAATTCATTTTAAAGAAAGATTTACTCGGAATTCCTTTATTTTACCTGGTGGATATCCATAATCCTCTAGGTGTTGCATTTCATATGGTACAGGTTGAAAAATTGCCATCTCACACCAATCAATAAGATCAATGACACGACATGGGACAAGGCGACGGGCCCTCTCTCCAATACGCTTCAGAGACATTCGATGAGCCTCCATTATTGCTTGGGTCAGCGACATAATTATAATTATATCTTTGTGCCAATTTATATATTAATTCTTCAAAGCACAATATTTTTCATATTTACATTAGGTTTGTCATATTTCCATTTCGTTTATTATTTTTCCTTTGATCAGTTGTGAACGTGTCTGTCTAACACAGTGTTAAATCCATTATTCAATATTATTCCTAGATTATAAACACACAGCTCCAGTTTGAATTACAAATGAAAAAAACTGATGCGTTTTCTAAGATCTGAGATATCCTATGCCTCATGGGTTATACAGCTCCAGTGAATCCTGACATATAGAAGCCTCATTTACATAAGAGCTAGTATACATGAGTCGAATACTCCCAATTATTTCTTATAAGTAAGTGAAACACTTCATGTATAAGACATATCATGTCTTAATAATGTACAGAACACTGTAAAAACATTGTTAACTCATCTATCTTAAATCTGATTAATTTTAGCCCATCTGGTAGAGATCATTTCTGTTGTAAAGTTTAGATTGATTAAAGCATGCTGGGCGGAATCAGCAACATGTGATTCAGTTCAATTGATTCTTTATGTGTATTCTTCTTACTAGCGAATTGCATTTATCCTTCCTCAACTACAGCTAGATCTTAATTAATGTCACTCTTTTGAGTTGTTTTGTATGTTAATCACACAGTTGTTAGGTCTTTATCAGGTTTGATCATTCTGTGCCTGTTTGCGAAGAATATATAATGAATTAAGAATTTATTGTAATCCTATTGCTATATTTTTGTAATACATTTCAAGGGGCATGTCATTTGTCTCTTACGTCATAACTGTTTTCCCATCATTACATTTATAAACACATGTTATTTCACCCTAACTTGAAGATTGTCATAAAATCTCATATAGATGATGAAGATCATGATGATTCTGCAATTTCACTGGGGGGTATCGTGATGCAACAACACCGTGTTGTTGCATCAAGATGGCCAGACTTCCGGTGATAGATTTTCTTACGATATGTTGTTTCCCCAACTTAAACCCATTTCTAGGACGAGTTTCTCAATAACCATACACGTGAAGTTAGCACACTATCTATATTTAAAGAAACTGTCATTAGTATACATGTAGCACCATCAAGAAGCAAGAAGTTCACGGTTTTAGTTCTTCACTATTGATGCAACAACACCAACCCGAAGATGCAACAACACTCCTCTAGATTTGAGCAATGATGCAACAACACCAATTAATAGTATAATTTCAGAAGACCATAAATCTCGAGAGGAACAGATTTTTAAATGCTACTATTGCAACACCGGGCCAGTACCCATTTGCGTTCTTCTCAGGCATTCAAAATACGCGTCCTGCGGGCGAAGATTCTTTATACTGTATGTATTTTCAAAAATTTATACTTTTAGATATCATAATGTACTGGAAGTTGTTTTATAACATAGTTCAATCGCCTTTAACATTGCAAGCTATAGTAACCCAATCTATTATCATAAATCCCTGTTCCATAGCTTGATGACCCTGATACCAGTTAGTATCATTCAAAATGGTGGACAAACATCTTTCGTTCTCGGTAAACACGACGAGCTATTGGAAATCTTGCACGGCGCACATGTAGAAGTATTGTTCTCTTTTGATTCGTTTTCCCCGATTGAGTAAAAAGGTAGGTAATAGGATTTAGGTCCCGAAAAGGTAAATTGATAGAGGTACAGTAATCCCAGATTCCCCCTGGGCCCTCGGGAAATATCATAATGTGTCCCGGAATAAAACCAATATTGAATCTCTCTCAGTAAATATACCTCTATATAATAGCATTGTATAACTGCAATATCATTAAACCAACACTCATCGGAAGTTATGGCGCTAATTGCTAAATTTGGTGCCCCATGTTAAGTCAATGGGAAATTTTTTTTTGAAGTGTAAAATACGACATATACGACGACCGAGTACAGCTTAATTTAATGAAAGCCTTTAAATGAAAGGTACCTCAAAAGCAATCTAGCTTCAAAATTTGGATACAAAATGTCTAGGTCAAAATTTAGGTCAAATTCAAAGTTTTCCTTATTTTTGTGATTCTGACACTACACTTCAATTATATTCTTCGAAATTGTGTATACATGTAGCCAAGAGTGTACTAAAAGTGTTAGCCTTTTGCCGTCAGAAAGTATTTTAACCCACTTTTGAGATATGGTGTCCAAAAAGTAGGTCAAAATAAACAAGGCACAGGACGTGAACGAGATCACACCATCAAATAGGCAGACACTATGAACCAGGAAAACTGTTCTCCTATTATGTTTACAAATTTCAAGGACAAGAAAACAAGATGGCCGCCCAAAAGTTAATCAGCTCTAGTACTTGATATCCTGTATCATTTGTGTAAATTTGAAGGAAATCCGATGAGCGGATTTTCTGAAATGGCGATGACAAGATTTTTCGAAAAATCTTCAAAATGGCTGCCAGAAAACAAGATGGCCGCCCAAAAGTTAATCAGCTCTAGTACTCGATATCCTGCAAACCAAATTTCGATCCGACTTCCGGTTCGGAAGTTATGGCGTTTTGAAATTTCGAGAAAAATCGATCTGATGCTATCCTGATAGAAAGTCAAGAGCAGCGAAGAAAATGTTGAAAAATCCATCCATCCTTCCATCCATCCTTCCTATCCTATCCTACTATTCTATCCTATCGTTCCCTCTTATTCTATCCTATCCTTCCTATCCCTTTTATCCCTATCCGTTCCTTCCTATCTATCCTTCATATCCTTTCCTTCCTATCTATCTATCCTTCCTATCCTTCATATTCTTTCCTTCCTATCCTTCCTATCTTATCCTTCCTTGCTATTCTATCCTATCTTTCTTCTCTATTCTCTCCTATCGTTCCATCCTATTCTGTCCCATCCCTCCTTCCTATTTCATCCATCCATCCATCTTTTTCTGGATGATTCGGCTTAAAAAAGTCCAGATCTGGAGTCTGAAATTGAACTTGTTCAATTTCCAAAGTCTAGTTATATTAGTTCTTTGTAAACAATTTCCATACGATACGGTAAATCAAGGGGATTTAATTTAGAAAATGAATAATCTTTATTTTTCAGATACAATATCAATGAGGTTGGCTCCCGGGGATTCAATACTTAGCCTATGTATTTAGTTTAACTTGTATATCCTTTTAACTTTGATAAAGACAAATACATTAAGGAACCAAACAAAATACGTTTCATTCATGAACCACGCACTCACGCGTTTTATTCATGTCCCGACCAACACCTATAAACAGAACATAAAACAGTTTCTCTTGATATTCAATGATAAATTATATTGGCGTTTTTGCATCAGCGCATTGGTGTTGTTGCATCATCGATAATAAACAGAGTGGTGTTGTTGCATCAATAGTGAGGAATTAAAACCGCGAATTTCTCGCTTCTTGATGATGCTACATGCATACTAATGAGAGTTTTTTAAAATATAGATCATGAGCTAACTGCACGTGTATGATTATTGAGCAACTCGTCCTATAAATGGGTTTAATTGGGAAAACAAAATATCGTACGAAAATCTATCACCGGAAGTTTGGCCATCTTGATGCAACAACACGGTGTTGTTGCATCACGATACCCCCCAGTGAATTTCTCATTTCAGTTTAATCTAGGATTGAGGTCCTATATTGAAAGACGAAATTTCCTCCTTGCCTCAAGGTATCATATCCACATACTTAAGGTGAAGAGAGATTGTTTCATCATTCCAACATTGTTTTGTAGGCAATATGCAACAATTGAGCTGTTGTGACAGATATGATGGATTTTATTGCTATATTAATTTTGCCCAACAGATAATTAAAGGTAGATATTTATATTGGAAATTGTTTTTATTACAAATTTCTTTCTCTGTTTTATTGTTAATGAAATTTAATTTTATATCTCTCTATTCTTATGTAAATCAATTGTTATTTTATCGAAAAATGATTGATAATACGTCTGACTCTTATGAAGAAATAGAATAACAATAATGTAATTGTGTTTCTTCAGAAATGAACGTTTTTATTTCATGGGGGAATTGATGATGTCAGAAGATTCATTCGTAAGTTATCTTTAATATATTAATGGAAGCAGACAAAGTTAGCAGATGTCTGCAATAAATGTAAATTAGAAAGGAAAAAACAAGAAAGGGTGCATGGCTTGAAACAAATAAACTTTCACTTAATGTTGAAAAGACGAAATACATAATATTTTCTTCAAAAAAGAAAATATACAATGGTAATGACATACAAATTCTTATTAATGATCAAAAAATAGAAAGAGTCCCTGTGACAAATTTTTTAGGCTTGATCATTGATCAACATTTAATGTTTAAAGATCACATAAGTATGATTAGAGTTAAACTCTCCAGGACACTGGGGATTCTTTTTAAGATCAAGCACATCTTAGACAGAAAAACTTTTATCACTGTCTACAACTCCCTGTTTCATTCATACCTTACATATGGTAACATAATATGGGGTAATACAAATCCCACAACTCTTAATCCATTACACTTGATACAAAAGAGATTTGTTAGGTTGGCAACTCAAAGTGGCTATAGAGACCACAGTCAACCACTTTTTAAAGAGCTTAGAATCATACAAATACATGATATATATAAAATCAATATTGCTGAATTTGTCTTTAAATGGAAAAATGATATAAACAATTATAAAACTATTTTTCCAGATTATTTCAAAACCCATGGAGATTTTCATAGATATAACACTAGAGGCAAATCAAACTTTACCCTTCCTAAAGCAAAAACTGAAAACTATGGCAAAAAAACAATAGCCTTTAGTGGTTCATCCATATGGAACAGTCTCCCAGAAGAAATAAAAAAGTCAAATTCAAGTTCTTTTCTTAAATCAAAACTTAAGAAACATATTCTCTCAGCTTATTAATCATTGGTTGACTGTGTCACTTCTTGTTTCTTCGCTAAGAAGTTAGGGTAGGCTCTCAAGGAAGGTACATGGGCCGACCTGGGGGCTGCCCGACCTACTGACGATTTAACACAATGATTCTGATCGTACCAACCTTGGGGAAGGTACAATAATAACTAATATTTTATAAGAATCACACTTTTAGAAAATTATTGGCGTCAACGCGG